TGATGATGATGATGATGATGACGATGATGTGGTCGTCTGCAGGCGTTCTCCTGGGCTCTGGTGACCAGTAAGAATCTTCCTCCGGCTCACTTGGTGAAAGCTGCCGGCGTTCAGGTAGAGCACGGTCTCGCGCTTCCTCTGCACACATCGGTGACGCTCGGTCACTCATTTCAAACGTGTGTGTGACTTTCTGAAATACCTCCTGTCCGTTCAGTGAAAGCCAGTGTTGTTTGTCTTCCAGCGTTCTTTTGTGTTTCACAGAAGAAAGTCAGTCGTACAGGTTTGGAAATGATGACAGAACGATCGTTTCTGGATGAACCGTTACTTAAACGCCCTTCTCAGTCAGTAGCAGGGTTATTATCGTTAACTGAAACCAAAACTACAACTATGAAAAACATTTACTTCAAATAAACATTAACTGAAATAAAATATACAAAAAAACTTATTTTATTCAGCTAGTTGTCAAGAAAACATTTGTCATTTTGTTGTATAGACTACAGATTTAAAAAATACAAATAAATGACATACTTCACAATGAAATAAAAATGTCCAAATGTTAATGGAGAATGTAGGTGTCTAAATGATTAAAATCGCTGGTCAGTAGTCACAAGGTTTGTGTTCATGTGTAACGGTGCAGTGTGCAGTTTAGTGAATCCTTGACTTCTGTGCTGTTAGATGAAGGGATTCACGTTCGAGCGGCATGAACATCTAGTCCAGTCAGATTTATTTCTACAGCGCTTTATACAATACATAATGATTCAAAGCAGCTTCACAGGAACAAGCAGGAAAATAAACTAAATGCACAAATGATGAAACAAACTCTGTTTCAGTTGTAAAGCAGTTCCACAGGAGTCTCAGAAAGCCTGTGATGCTAAAGCTGTGTGTCTGTGTGTCAGGCTCGAGTGGAGCTCAAACAGGATGGTCAGCCGTCATTACCCAGAGATCAGCGGCGCGAGAGACCTGGCTTCCCTCTACGAGGACCACGAGCAGGTGACGCACACTCACTCACTC